GAATCTTCTAGAAACTCATCACGTGTTACCAGGTCACGTGACTTCCGCTGTCGTAACAATATATTACATCAGAATGAGTTTTTGATACCTATTACAACACTCTATGTAAAGAACTACCAAATAATAAGTTTGTTAAAATCATTCATAGAGGACCCACAGCATAGTCAGTGGGATTAATTGCAATATTGACTGGTAGGGGAAGGAGGGTAAGACGGTCCCCTTGAGTAGAACGGTTATCTCTGTATATCATCAGTTATGCTATCTAGAGTGGATTACATGCAACTATTGTTCAAGTGACCGGTGCATAAACACATTAATGGACGAGCGCGAATGAGAGCGATCAAAACGCGCGGGACTACAGATTTTGTCTTTTTGAACAAATGACATCGAAGGTAAGCACTTTCATTTCAACTTTCATGGTTTAAAAGTCGAAGTTTCAGAAGATTTCACTTTATTGATTCGTAAAAGAAACACAGTTCAAGTTTACTGAATTTTTATTAGCTTTACGATCAGTGACTTATGATAAAATTCCCCCACCCCTATGTGATCGTTCCCCCCCCCCACTAGTATCTAATTTTCTTTGCACTATTTTCACAGATAATGCGCAATTTATGCATGACATACGGTTTTCCCAATCGCTGCCGAAAGCATTTAAATGATGATTTTAAGTAATTTAAATGTAATTGCTAAAAGCAGCACTTATTTTGAATTGCAATTAGTAAGAGTTAGACGCGGACCATTTTACCCCATCTTGTAAAACGGCCCCCAGCCACAAGAAATTTCATTACTTCACTATCAAACAAAGGTCTAAGACCAATCTTTATTTTAACTAGAAATGTAATTTATAATAATAATAATAATAATAAAGGTTCATCAAAAAGGTTTTGCATTTTCAAGGCATTCAAAGTTACGATGGCCGTCTTACCCTATGCATATGAAGTTCAGAGAAATGTGTTTAAAAAATATATGTACCCCTACGGTAATTATAGGATTAAGCAACTACTTGGACGAGTTCAAATGTATAAACTATTATTTTCTTTCATTTCTCTTAATTTAGAGCTATTGATTTAAAAAAAATCACTCTTTACAAGTGCTGTTTCTACAAAACTTATACAAATAACATAAAACAAAGTTGTAAGAAATTGACATAGTGTAACAATTATCAGTATTACTTTTTGTCTATAATTGAAAGAAGAAGGAAACAATATATCACTCTAAATGGCAGCTGAATCGTTCACTTATTGTGCTAATATTCGATTCAAAACAGTACAAAAATGCATTTTGGTTGACACGAATTCGAATTCCATGTTCGTGAAAAACGTTAATCACTGACTTGCAGGAGCAAGAATCATGTGATAATGTTGCCTGCAAACAAAACAATAGAGGTGGAACTAGTTAACATATTAATGTGTGGTAAAAGTTATCCTCGTAGGTAAAGCTTTATTTTCCTTATTCAGGAAAACGAGTCTGTTGTGTACAGTTACAAAATACGGCTAAAGAACAACAGAACACTAAATAAAGTGACTTAATGAAATCATGGATTTTTGAATCCATCTTTTTTTTTTTTCATTTGTGTTTCCAGAAGCTGCGTCACGGTATCATACACTTTAAGACACTGCGGGAATGTTAGAGTAAATATTCAGTGTGTTAACCCTGGATTTGTGTACACTTGTTTTTTTTTTTGGGAGTTTTTTCCTGTCTTAAGCAAAACCCACACAACAAACACCGTCCCGTACATTAGTTGTTAAATTATCTTAAGTCTACGAGTATTTATACAGATATTTGCATAAACATGAAAAGTGACACGAAACAGTTATTTACAAGTCAGATAAATATCAAATAGATATCGAGAAATCGGAGTTAGCACAAACATGTGGTACTAGCAGACAGATCGAGTTTAGATCGCTAATGGCAAATGTCGCTAAATTGATAATTTCATCATAACTTACTCGTGTATATTACTTCAAACAGATATGCGGTATCTTTACGTTTCATAATCATATATACTGATAGTCTGTCAGTCTCAAATAAAATATAAACATGTATTAATAAGATAAACGTGGATTAATAAGATAATACGAAAACAACCACGAGGTTCATTCATCTTCACTTGTGGCTTATTCACACTAATAAGTACTTGCAGCCGCTACATTATTTTGTTTACGTGATAACGACATTTGTATTATTATTAAGTTTCAATAGATGGGGCCAGCAGGAAATAAGTAAATAACTAAAGTTGTTTTTTTGTTCTTTGTGTAGGCACAGATCTTCACATTGGGCTATCTGCGCTGTACCGTCCGCGGGTATTAAGCCATGATTTTTAGCGTTTTAAGTCCTCAAGCTTACCGCTAAGCTATTGAGGGGCAGTAACTAAAGACACTGCTTGTCCCGGTTTTTCGAAACTACTGGATAATATGTTCTCTTGGTTACAAATACAACAAAACGGGAAGCTGAATAATGTTGAGATTTTAACATTATACGGACATGATCTCTCACCCAAAGCTTTTTCATCTTCGTTGGAGTGATGTAATGTAAGACATATTAATTCATATTAAGAAACTGTATAAAGCCTCATTAAGTAACGATTACACTCACCAAATTAGCTGATATTTTTATCTAATGGTTTTGATACAGATTATATTACGTCATGCGAGCATCCATATTGTTACGACAGCGGAAGTCACGCGACGTTGGGAGCCTGCGCGCTGGTGTTTCTCGAAGGATCGTGAATTTGCCGGCCAGCTCGAGTGTGATCTAGATGCCCTCTTTTTCAGTATATATAAGCCTGGCAAAGAAAGCCAGCAGCTGATAGATAATCGAGTCAAACAAACAGTAGGCACCTAAGTAATATGTGTGAATCACTGTGATTTATAGCGTGTGTTATAAATATAGTTAAGTTTAGAAACGTAGTGATTGTGAAATTACTGTGTAGTAAAAGTGTGTATCAAGAAAGAATAAACTGTTTTAATAAAAAAAAACTTGTATCGCTGCTGTTCCTCGAAAAGAATTTCTACCGGAAGTTAACAAACAAATTGGTGTCACAGAGTGGGACGGAAAAAAAAGGAGATGGAAACGAGAAGTGGCAAATCAAACTACGACTTAGCAGCTTTGATGGCAGGAATACAAGAACAGCAAAAGAAACAATATGAACGAGAAAATAAACAAGAAGAAAGATTACAGCAGTGGTTTGAGGAGAAAGAAAACAAACAAGAAGAGAGACTGCAGCAGCGGCAATAAAACCAGCACCAGTGGCAACTGGAACAAGAAAGGAAACAAGAAGAACGAGAAAAGAAACAGGAAGAAAGTCTCCAACAGTTGAGAGAAAGCCAGCATACACAAATTGATAAGATTAGTAAATTTCAAAGTGAATTAAATACATTAAAGGACGATTTACTGTCTTTTACACAGGAAGGATATATTAGCCATGGACCAAATCAGCCCCAGACAACAAGAAGCCCCTTCCAGACCCTGCAGCTAAACCCTAATGCAAACATCTTCAGTCCTGACAGAAGTCAAATTCCAGACAAGAGTGTCAGCAATAGATGTGATCTAGTACGAATGAAGCCACAGGAATTCGATGGGAAGGCACTATGGGAAGCATATAGAGCACAATTTGAGATCCTGGAAGAAATGAATGGGTGGACAAAGGAGCAGAAAGCAGTGTACCTGGCAACGAGCCTGAAGAGACAACCACTGGAAATACTTGGACAGTTGTCAGCAGACGAAAGACACAACTATACAGCACTGGTAGCTGCTCTAGAGCTCAGGTATGGAACCCAAAAATCAGTCAGAAGTCTACAGGGCCAGGTTCAGGACGAGAGTCCGTGCTAAAGGGGAGAGCCTGCAAGAGCTGGCACAGGACTTGGAAAGTATGGCACACAAGACCTACCCAAATGCGCCACACGATCTCCTCAAGTTATTGCTGAGGGATCAGTTTGTAGATGCCTTGGACAGTCCACAACTGAAGAAACAAGTGAAGCAAGCACCCCCATCTACTATACAAGATGCAATTGCCAGAGCTCTTCAATTCGAATCCACCTTTAACTCCAGCACAGAAGTACCGAGGTTGGTACAGTCATCAGGATTCAAGGCCAGAAAAGGGCAGCTGTCACAGAAGTTTGAGAGACTTTGCTGGCACTATAAAAAACCGGAGCACAAGAGAGCTCAATACCGGCA